ACTGTAGACCCCACATCATAGACCTGACCAACTGTAGACCCCACATCATAGACTTGACCACCTGTAGACCCCACATCATAGCCTTGCCCCCACAGACTATACAATCGGCACTAGGCTTGATGGGGCCATCACTTCACCTGCCTCTCTTCTTACCCATCACTCTGGAACAAGGTAAACCTGGACTCATCAGACCACATGATCTTCTTCCATTGTTCCAGGGTCCAATCTTTAAGCTCCCTAGCAAACTGAAGCCTTTTCTTCCTCTTAGCCAATGTTTTGACCCTTCTCAATCAGTCTGACATCTTTTCCACAACCATTGGATGTGTTTTTTGACCTGATTGTTTTAAGAAATGAGTAGCAGCTCATTGCACCAGTTGGGGTTAAATAACTTAGTGCCAGCTGCAGTGATTATCTAATAGGAAGCTTATACCTATTTGTGTAGTTAAATCTTCTTTTTGGCCAGGCAGAGTGTATATACTGTGTGTATTATGTATATAAAATACACACACATTCCTTCACTGAAACAGTTGTAATTAAAACACTGCATTATCCATGACATGCCCCCTAGGTGGCAATAATGTCTACTTTARCAACACTTTGAACTACAGAGAAGGACCATTTTTAGCTTGGCTGAAGGTTCTCCCAAAACGTATTTGGTTGATAGTGTTTACAGTTTCCTGTGGCGCCTATCTGCTGGTATTAGATTAAAAAATAAAACATATCTTGTGACCACAAGATAATAGTTGCAGTTTCATGTAGACTGTTGGTTGTTAATATGGACAAATTAGAATAAATTTAATTTTACTGTAATACAGACTGTGATGGACTTGGACCTGTCCAGAGTGTAGCCCACCCCTCTGGAMATGGGCACCACCCTGTGACTTTGAAATGCAGAAGTGGATGATGGATGGATGTAATCTAGGAATGAATTACAAAGACATACTTACCTTTCACTTGTGTTTAGGCATGGAGTAATTCTTAGCAAGAGACACTTAATTCAGCTGCTCAAAATTATTTGTGGCCACCCATTATTATCTTGTGGCCATGCGTTATTTTCTCATGTTAATGAGATGTTAATGTGTGGCCACGCGTTACAGTTTTTATCCAGTGTCACCACACAGGCTCCGTAGTTTTCTCTGTTATTAACATTTTATCACATGATCGAAGTTGATGGGATGATGTCACACAGGCACAGAAAAAAAACTGTAAATTAAGCTTTATTGTTGTTTTTGGTTCTAGGGCACAAAGTGATAGTGAGCACGTGTGAAACAGGCTGCTTAAGTTCAGTACATATGCTGTTTTTTTAATTTTTTTTTTAATCTTCACTCTGGAAAGAGTTTTAAACATCCCAGTTTTTCAAAACAAAACAAAAAAAATCTAAATTCATGTGTGGAGAGATGTAAACACAGCAGCAAATCTCAGCTTAAAACCAATCCAGAATAGTGTAGATGAGAGTAGCCTTAGTTTAAACGGGTTTAATACATATTTTTATATAAACTTTGATTTTAACAGGTAAGTCAACTGAAAAACAATTCTTATTTACGATGATTTGTGACAATGACAATGACAAAAAAAAACAGCCATTTTGGCTACTGCGCAATTTTCCAGTACGTTAACACTTTTCTAKAAAACTCAAGTGTAATTTAGGACTTTTTTGAAATAATCTTTACTATGATAGAGTCAAACTCTTATTTTGTAGATAATTTACAAGCTTTATCCTCAGGTTAAATCATTTCTTCTGTTTGATCTCTTAGTGTTTTTGAATTTTAAATACTAAAATCTGCACAGATTTTTATTTGTTTCCTTCACTAAAGGTTCTAATTGTGGAAAAATTGCTAAAATTTTACAGGATTCATGGAAACAGCCAGCATGAAATCAKATAACAAAAAAAAGTGAATAAGAATCTGCTGAGGCAGATTTGTCTGCGTAACTGGTTGATGTGATTCTCATCTTTAAACTGCCACAGGATGGAAACTAAGTAAAAATAATAATAAAAATAACCTTGAACAATGAACGGCTAGAATTTCTGGTGTTCATACATGTGTGTCTACAGTGTTTCACGTAAAAAAAGGAAAAAAGGCCCTTTGTAATATATGTTATGAAGTATTCACAGCTTATGTCTAAATATATCATAAGTGCCTGAAGTGAGCATTTCCGATACATATGATTGTTTACAGAACATTTATAAAAGCATGGCTTTTCAAAGTGGCTCCTTCATATCTTTCTATCACATTTTTAAGAAAATTTATTTGRATGCAAGTGGTCAAACAGTCATAAAAAAGTGGTTTCCTTATATTTCAAAGATTTAACATTCAGATGGAAAGGAATGTCAGTTTAAATACAGAATCAAGTATAAATACAAAAGTCACAGTATAAATAACTGTGGTTGGGATGGAAATATAAATGTTGAAACTTGTGAGGACAAAAAAATATACATGTAAAATATTTAATTTAAAAATAGAGTTTCTGTTGGACCTTTAAAACAGACATTTAGTAGTTTGTGGGAAATGTTTGACACAAAATTGTAAATGGGACAATGATATATCTATTTAACGTTTTGTAAATAAGGTACAATTTGTAGTTTGAATGAAACTGATAAGACCAACATTTTAGAAATCATGTTGCTTTCTGTAAAGAAAGAACAATAAAAAGTTTTCATGTGGATAAATACGACAAATAGAAAAAATAATTCTGCTTTAAAAATAGCTTTAAAAGACACAGCAACAATTCCTACAAACATTTTTAAAGCTTTTCAAACTGTGACAGCTGTGAATGAAGCCAGAGGTGCAAAGTGACATATAAGTGACTTTTGGTTTAAATTCTCTCAGACGAAGAGTTGCCATCAGTACACAYGTTAATACTGTATATTTACAGTCCAAGTCTACTTATAATTCCACTTTAAGATTTTTTAAATCTTAATCTACATGTGTWTTTTCTTGTCCACTAACCTACAGACTGAGTGGACGTACAGTGACAGGCAGATTTTGGCTTCAGGTCCAGGTGGTCTCACACTGATGGTCCTTTAAACACAGCAAAGTGATCGTGACTATAATATAAAAATCTGTAATCACTGTCAAACTTCAAAAGCTGTTGTGCGCTTCATTGTCCAAAATGGAMAAAGATCAGGTGAAAAAGCACCTGGACCTTAGGTCTGACAACAAAAGTTCATAAMGATTTGATCCTTTAAATGTGAACAAAATATAACACTCCACTGTATTACAACACAGCAAACTCTTCATCTTACACTGAGCCATGATAAGTCTCGGTTCTGGCCCAGTGGCAGCCACATGGCTTTCACCAGTGCTCCAGTTGCAGGTCCATGGCAGAGTTCAGGTTCATGTCTGTCACATCCAGGAACTCCGAGTTAAAAATGCTTGGCACACTGGACTGAGCGGCGCTGTAGGCAGTGGCAGAAGTGGGCGGGGTCAGGTCCAGCCACTCCATGGTTTCCCACGGCGTCTCACTGAAGCTCATGCTGACCATCCCCTGAACTTCAGTGACCGCCGCTGCCTTGCTGCTCATCGGAGACAGGGGGGCATCCATTAGGTCTCTGTTGGTCAGAACTTTGTCCTGTTGGGGGTGGTGAAGAAGGCAGTGTTGGTTGTGGTGGCTGCCGTACTCCTCGGCGTCTCGGTTTCCCTCATCTTCCTGGAGCCCATCCTCAGCAGACATTTTGGAGGAGGCCGTGTCCCCACCTCGCCCCGCAGGACAGCCCAGGAGAGTCTGCAGGTGGCTCTCAGTGATGTGATTGGCTGTGTAATCATACGGGAGCTGATTGGGCCCCAGATGCTCGAAGTGCCAGTGGAACCTCGGAACAAGGAGGCCAGGACACCCTAGGGACACAGTAACTTTGGTTACAGAAGACCTGTCCTTGTCTTCTCTGGCGTTAGCTGGCATCTCTTGAGAAGAAAGAGAGGAAGGGGTGTCACACTATAGACTGGAACTGGATGTCAACGCATCCGGTTGGTCTGATCAATAGGTGACCAGAACTCAACAAATTGTGTGACTAAAGTTGTAATAGATACTGCGAGCTAGCTAAAAACTGTAAATGCCTCCAAAAGGATAGTCCAGTCAACTTTGAAGTGATGTTCTGTTTAGTAGTTAGCGGTAGTTGGTGCTGTATCAGCCATGATATCAGTCATGATGCACAGAGATCTGAGGAAGAGGCAAACTATTTATCCRTGCTGGACTAAGGGCTAGCAGAACGAGTGTATGCTTTTAGAGTTCTTAAACAATGTGAAAGAATGCTACATTTGCTAATGAATATATTAAATATTATAAATATTATTAAAAAATAAATATGCTCTGACACATCAGAATGTCATTTTCATGAGTTTTATAACTCTGAAAATTATGCAAAATAAAACAAGCAAAAAAACTTGTTATCTAATCAATAGCCTAGCCTGGATTACAGCCAGTATGATAATATGATCAACTAACCAACMTGAACAGGACRACTAACCAACCTGAACAGGAYAACTAACCAACCTGAACAGGATAACTAACCAACCTGAACAGGACAACAGGACGACTAATCAACCTTAACAGGACGACTAACCAACCTGAACAGGACAACTAACCAACCTGAACAGGATAACTAACCAACCTGAACAGGATAACTAACCGAAACAACTCCATTTTACTGTCAGGAACATCTTTAACAATCTAAAAATGTTTAGTATGTCCTCATTTTGAAATCTTTTGTCTTTCTGTCAGACTGAGGATTTGCGGATAAGCTCAGCTGTAGAAGCAGTGCCTTTACAGAGTGGATTAACGATATGGTGACCTGGATTATTGAAATGCATCTGGACATCTTTAACAGTCCATTAAGTTATCCAGCATCCCGAGCAGCTATACAGCCTGTTTAAAAAGCTCTGCTCTTTTTCTTATTCTGTGTTTACGGCTGCACGACCAGCTATCATAATAGCATTGTTTGGTGCATTTCTGACTAGTTTCTGTAATAACAGTTTACACGCAACATTTTTTTWAAATTCATAAAACACTAAAATCAGGGACATTTCTGGGGACAGGTTATCCTAAACGGTTACTATCCCCAGAAATCTGGGATGTCTGGTCACCACACAGTATTGAGTTGTGGCCTTCTCTTACCTAATTACACGTTTTGCCATTTCAACAGGAGAGGTTGGCTGACTTCGACCTCCCCTGCCCCCTCGGCCCACAGTTAGACAGAACATTACTTCAAAGTTAACTAAACTATCCCTTTAAATGTGAGCTCTCCCTCCTTGCAACTTATTTGAATAGAAAATGTCTCAAATAAACACTTGATTTTGTTGATTTGTTTCAAATCAAATCAGTCTGGCATTATTAATGGCCTGAGTGGAGAGTTTGGCTGTTCAGTCTGAAGGGATAAACTGTGAACTTGTGAGATTAGCAGGTATAAAAATCCTGTGCAAATCCACCTGATTCAGCAAACGTTTCTGAAAAACACATTTACAGGTCAATTTTACAGCAAGAATTATTTSTTTTCTTACCTCCACTCTCTATAAGCACATCCAACAGTTCGTCCATCTGCTGACTGCGGCTCAGTTGCTATAAAAGCAATAAGAAAATAGATTTTTTTATTTTTCTATGTTTTAAAATTAGATGTAATTACTTTAAATACCRTACAATTTACATATGATCACACTTGTTTCTGGTAAACAAATCAGTTTAATGTAAAGTGGCAAATGTTTTTTATTTTTTCTGTTAGCAGGATGAACATTTTTCACAAATACTGGATGTACACTGTAACACTATCTGTTCTACAAACTGTCCATGATTCATTTTGAACAAATTTAGTTTCATTGGGCCTCATGCAAGAACTGTTCGTATGAAGAGATTTGTTCTTAAGTTGCGCATTCGAGTGAATTAGGAGAGTTTGTGGCATTCACCAATTTTCTCTTATTGTAAGATTTTCTTCAGATACAAACAAAACTAACGAGTGGTCCAGACC